TTAAACCCCAAACCCACCCACACCCCATTCTCTCAATTAATGAAGAAAACAAAAATATTAAATATGTGATTTGCAGTAAGGAGTGTTTTGGTTTGTTTTCTCTTTAGTGTATTACAGATACAGGGTTATTGAACTTGTTTTATCACAGTTAGATAGTGGCGCTTCCTCACTGTAATAGTGTTAGCACCACAACATCATTCTGAGTAATTTGAGAGAAAATAAATCTTGTGCTATCTCTAGTGAACACCGATGCCACTTCTTGGATTTTTGTATGGTGAAGAGTTCCTGATTAAAAGGGGAAAAACTCCATATTTAATTATTCATACTTAACTATTTTAATGGCGACCCATACAAATGTATCTACTTTGGAAACATGATATCCTACTTTGCATCAGCTATATAAGGAACTGTATACTGATCCAACATATTTATAAAGAATGGATTACATGTTGATAGCTATCAGTGAAATTCTCTTTACAAGTTCCTTCGACACATTGTAAAACAAGACAGAAGAACAAAATGGCTAACAGATTGTTATAACAGAAGAATGATCTTTGTGAACATTTCATGTGTAGATTCTCTCAGATCCCTAGTTGTGCCAGTTCAATTTTGAAATGATTGGGAAAACAAACTGTTTGATGGGAAATCTATAATGAATGACCATGAAAATTTGTTCTTTGCTTTCTTTAGAAACCACTGTATGGATGATTCTCAGATTTGATATGTGACTTGTAAGGCCTTAGGCTGTTAAGTTTTTTAGCTTTCCATCACCAGCTGATTTGCCATTCAAATCGCCTTTCTTCTGGGGTTTGTCTTTCATGAGATACATTTATTTGATGGATTTTTCTGAAATTTTAAATGTATGTTCCCCTTGGTGATCTGTTGTGTCCCTCTGGGCCAATCAGAAAAACAAAATGGCTGATAGGTGGGGGGTTATATTATAAAATGCTAACCTCTAACAATTTTAGGAGGTAGCAACTGAACCATAAACCAGATATCAGGTTACCTGTTCTGGCACTATTTCTGGATTTGCCTGTTAATTGTGAAAAGATGGGACCTCTCACATTGAAGTGATATTTCAGTTAATTTTGGTAGTGTTGTGTCCCCAAACCTAATGTGTGCCATACCTAGTAGAATAGTTGAGTGTATAAGAACACACACTACAGGACTTGTTACTCTGCCATCCCCATCACATCTGTTGGAATTTACATTGATATCAAAAAGTTTCAAGTCTGATACTTTATTTCCAGGTAAAATGAGAATATACACAAATTGGTGGGGGAACCTTACCAAAATAAATTCATTACCACAAAAAATTATGATTGTATAATAAAGCAAAGAAGATATAACTAAACACAATTTTGATGAAAAACTTGTAACTGTTCAAAAATCATTACGGTATTAGTACTCTCAGATATCTAATATCATCTGTTTTCAACACTTCCAGATTCTCAGGAAATATTTTATAAAGATCTTTAAAAAATTATTTTAAACTTCTTACCACCAGGTAAAAGTTGTAAAATCAAGAGAAACCTGATAATAAATGATGATGGAAGTGGAGGACTAAGAGTGCTACTTGATATCATACTGTCATGTTAAAATACATAGCATGGATCAGGAAACTGTTGAATCCATAAAATCATTCAAGCTGGACACTTTCAGTATCAACAAGAATGGAAAAAGATTAGGGGTGATAAAGCATGGCCTACAAACAGTAAAGGGTTGATGAAGATCGCATGCAAATCTAATGCGTTTTGGTGTAATGTTCTCCAAATGAAAATGGCTTCTCTTGGGACATTGTCCATAGACATTGACATGTTCATGATATATACAGACATGTCCATGATATTTACAGACATGTCCATGATATATACAGACATGGACCATGATATATACAGACATGTCCATGATATATACAGACATGTCCATGATATATACAGACATGGACCATGATATATACAGACATGTCCATGATATTTACAGACATGATATATACAGACATGTCCATGATATATACAGACATGTCCATGATATATACAGACATGGACCATGATATATACAGACATGTCCATGATATTTACAGACATGTCCATGATATATACAGACATGTCCATGATATTTACAGACATGTCCATGATATATACAGACATGTCCATGAAATATACAGACATGTCCATGAAATATACAGACATGTCCATGAAATATACAGACATGTCCATGAAATATACAGACATGTCCATGAAATATACAGACATGTCCATGATATATACAGACATGTCCATGATATTTACAGACATGTCCATGAAATATACAGATATACAGACATGTCCATGATATATACAGACATGTCCATGAAATATACAGACATGTCCATGATATTTACAGACATGTCCATGATATTTACAGACATGTCCATGAAATATACAGATATACAGACATGTCCATGATATATACAGACATGTCCATGATATATACAGACCTGTCCATGATATATACAGACATGTCCATGAAATATACAGACATGTCCATGAAATATACAGACATGTCCATGATATATACAGACATGTCCATGATATTTACAGACCTGTCCATGAAATATACAGACATGTCCATGAAATATACAGACATGTCCATGATATATACAGACATGTCCATGATATATACAGACATGTCCATGAAATTTACAGACATGTCCATGAAATATACAGACCTGTCCATGAAATATACAGACCTGTCCATGAAATATACAGACCTGTCCATGAAATATACAGACATGTCCATGATATTTACAGACCTGTCCATGAAATATACAGACATGTCCATGATATATACAGACATGTCCATGAAATATACAGACCTGTCCATGAAATATACAGACATGTCCATGATATATACAGACATGTCCATGATATTTACAGACATGTCCATTAAATATACAGACATGTCAATGATATATACAGACATGTCCATGATATATACAGACATGTCCATGATATTAACAGACATGTCCATGATATATACAGACCTGTCCATGAAATATACAGACCTGTCCATGAAATATACAGACATGTCCATGATATATACAGACATGTCCATGATATTAACAGACATGTCCATGATATTTACAGACCTGTCCATGAAATATACAGACCTGTCCATGAAATATACAGACATGTCCATGATATATACAGACATGTCCATGAAATCCATGGCTTTTCTAAGGAATTGCTCTTGTCCATGTATTTTCCATGAACATCCTGTTTGGGATTAAGGAGTTTGGTTATGTCATCATGATTATCATAGAATTGTGAGTGTCTCAAATGTTGGATGCTCTTATGACAAGAAAAGTTTTTCATTGCCCTAGAAAATGCTGAAAAAACCAGTTGCACTCTGATATAGTGTTGGAATATCTTGATTTATTGTCACAGACTTTGTATTGATACATGTAAAACCATGGGGACATTTGCAATTATTGTATTTGAAAGTGCACTTGTGTCTAATGTGATTAATCTGTACTCTAGTGTAGTCAGCTCAAAATCCGTTTTCTGCAATATTTATGTAAATGGTGCAAGTCCATTATCTCATGTGTGACCAATGACTTTGTTTTGTCTGGTGTGTATGATAAGAGCACACAGTGCCTGTGACTCCAATTCTTATCATTATTGTGAAATTGATCAGCATGCTTACATATGTAAAATTGATTTAAGTGCAAGTGTACTTATGAGTTCCATTATAGTTATCTCTTTCATTAGCATGACAACAAAAATAACCTTTGATTAGAATAATTACCTATTTCAGTTAGTCTTGAGGGTGTAGGATGTGATATGTGTTTCCATTTTATATGAAACAAGTCTTAAAACTCTTTCAAAGCCTCAAGCAAATTAAAATGGAAATAAGTTTTAAATTCTTTTCACCACATGGTCAATGATTTACAGTAATACAGTAAAACATTAATATCTGTATCATAGATCTATTGTCATATTATAATGTAGAACATGCAAATATATGATGTAATTTCTCCAGAGGTCCTAATAGGTCATATGACATGAGTTCATATGCAAAAATATCACATTGGCATACTAATCCTACAAGGTAAGATTAATTGGCTTATGGCAGAATCTACTGATGATATGATGCTTCAGAAATTTTTCTCATTTAGAGTCAATTTAGTGAACAGTAGATATGTATAACCTTGTTAGAAAGTCATGTATGAAAATATTTAGTTTTCCTGGCATGAAGAGTAAACAATCAGGATACAAAATAGTATATGTACAGTGGCACACTTCTGTAATAAGAAGGAGTCATTGAAAAAAAACCCAGTCACCACCACAGGGGTTCAAACTAGCACCACTTCTGTCTGTAGCCACAGACACTTCATGCCTAAAGGGAAACTTCCACCAGCTGAGGCTAGTAACATGACTGACGTGTAATCTTCTTCACTTCAGTTTGCCGGTGCAGAATTCATGCATGCTTTTCAGTCATCTACTTTTCAATGCATGACTAGTTATTCACAAGGAATGCCAGTTTTCTAAGTAAGTGGATTCAACGAGTCATTTAGGTAATGTTATAGTTAAGCATTGTGATTCCTACTATATGAAATTAGCTGTAACATATTTACATGAATAAGTGCTACATATTATGTTATAAACATTAATTCCATATATATATATATATATAATAATCAGAAACATGATGTGTATTTAAGTGTAAAGCATGAGCCCTTTCATGTATTGATCTTCAGACGCTTTACATCATGTACTGTCAGGCTTGCATGGTTGCCTATATGGTTACAATTTATGACGTCATCAATGACTTGATTATACATTGTGACGTCATAGAAACGGGAGATAATTGTGCTTACATGTAAAGAAAAGAAAAAGAAAAAAATTTCATTAAGACTTTAAAGCCAAAATTAAACAGGCTACTGTAAGCACTATTATCTCCCATTTCCTTTGGTCTCGACCTTGTAAATCTATTAGGTCTTTTGGAAGGTCTCGACCTTATAAATCTATTAGGCCCTTTGGAAGGTCTCGACCTTGTAAATCTATTAGGCCCTTTGGAAGGTCTCTACCTTGTAAATCTATTAGGCCCTTTGGAAGGTCTCTACCTTGTAAATCTATTAGGCCCTTTGGAAGGTCTAGACCTTGTAAATCTATTGGGCCCTTTGGAAGGTCTCTACCTTGTAAATCTATTAGGCCCTTTGGAAGGTCTATACCTTGTAAATCTATTAGGCCCTTTGGAAGGTCTAGACGTTGTAAATCTATTAGGCCCTTTGGAAGGTCTCGACCTTGTAAATCTATTAGGCCCTTTGGAAGGTCTCGACCTTGTAAATCTATTAAGCCCTTTGGAAGGTCTAGACCTTATAAATCTATTAGGCTCTTTGGAAGGTCTCTACCTTGTAAATCTATTAGTCCCTTTGGAAGGTCTAGACCTTATAAATCTATTAGACCCTTTGGAAGGTCTCTACATTGTAAATCTATTAGGCCCTTTGGAAGGTCTCGACCTTGTAAATCTATTAGGCCCTTTGGAAGGTCTCGACCTTGTAAATCTATTAGGCCCTTTGGAAGGTCTAGACCTTATAAATCTATTAGGCCCTTTGGAAGGTCTCTACCTTGTAAATCTATTAGGCCCTTTGGAAGGTCTCGACCTTGTAAATCTATTAGGCCCTTTGGAAGGTCTAGACCTTGTAAATCTATTAGGCCCTTTGGAAGGTCTAGACCTTGTAAATCTATTAGGCCCTTTGGAAGGTCTCGACCTTGTAAATCTATTAGGCCCTGTGGAAGGTCTCTACCTTATAAATCTATTAGTCCCTTTGGAAGGTCTCTACCTTGTAAATCTATTAGGCCCTTTGGAAGGTCTCGACCTTGTAAATCTATTAGGCCCTTTGGAAGGTCTCGACCTTGTAAATCTATTAGGCCCTGTGGAAGGTCTAGACCTTGTAAATCTATTAGGCCCTTTGGAAGGTCTCGACCTTGTAAATCTATTAGGCCCTTTGGAAAGTCTCTACCTTGTAAATCTATTAGGCCCTTTGGAAGGTCTAGACCTTGTAAATCTATTAGGCCCTTTGGAAGGTCTCGACCTTGTAAATCTATTAGGCCCTGTGGAAGGTCTCTACCTTATAAATCTATTAGTCCCTTTGGAAGGTCTCTACCTTGTAAATCTATTAGGCCCTTTGGAAGGTCTCGACCTTGTAAATCTATTAGGCCCTTTGGAAGGTCTCGACCTTGTAAATCTATTAGGCCCTGTGGAAGGTCTAGACCTTGTAAATCTATTAGGCCCTTTGGAAGGTCTCGACCTTGTAAATCTATTAGGCCCTTTGGAAAGTCTCTACCTTGTAAATCTATTAGGCCCTTTGGAAGGTCTAGACCTTGTAAATCTATTAGGCCCTTTGGAAGGTCTAGACGTTGTAAATCTATTAGGCCCTTTGGAAGGTCTCGACCTTGTAAATCTATTAGGCCCTTTGGAAGGTCTCTACCTTGTAAATCTATTAGGCCCTTTGGAAGGTCTCGACCTTGTAAATCTATTAGGCCCTTTGGAAGGTCTCGACCTTGTAAATCTATTAGGCCCTTTGGAAGGTCTAGAACTTATAAATCTATTAGGCCCTTTGGAAGGTCTCTACATTGTAAATCTATTAGGCCCTTTGGAAGGTCTCGACCTTGTAAATCTATTAGGCCCTTTGGAAGGTCTAGACCTTATAAATCTATTAGGCCCTTTGGAAGGTCTCTACCTTGTAAATCTATTAGGCCCTTTGGAAGGTCTCGACCTTGTAAATCTATTAGGCCCTTTGGAAGGTCTAGACCTTGTAAATCTATTAGGCCCTGTGGAAGGTCTCGACCTTGTAAATCTATTAGGCCCTTTGGAAGGTCTCTACCTTGTAAATCTATTAGGCCCTGTGGAAGGTCTCTACCTTATAAATCTATTAGGCCCTTTGGAAGGTCTCTACCTTGTAAATCTATTAGGCCCTTTGGAAGGTCTTGACCTTGCAGCATTTTAGTCCATCAGACTCTTTTGTAGGTCTAGAGACTGACATGTTTTTACATATATCTGTTGTGGTAGTCAGCAATCTGTCTGTGCTTATTTCCAGGGGCCATTAGCCAAATGCAGTCCCTAAGTGTAAAACATGTTTTCAATATTTTTTCTCTATGGTCATTGTCTAATGATGATGGGTCTCCCATGAGCTGAGGTAACAGAAGGTTAGAATACAAAACACATTTACCACTTGTCATATTCTGATGAAATTTTGTTGGTGACCATTGGGCTGTTATGAGAATTAGAATCCCTGGCCAAGAAGGGTTCACCCTCTAGGGATCTGAAGGACAGGATAACAAAGGGCCAACAAAATTTGTCACAGATATATATTTGCATGTTTCATTGTTTCCATGAAAGTTCTCATTTCTCCAGTGATCATGGATTGAAAAATATGTGTTTCTTAATTGGCCTGATAAACACAACTCCATGCCACAATAAACGCTGACTTCCATTTTTCTGGCACAGGTGTGCTTAATTAAAGTTTTAATTTTAAAAAGTTCACAAAACAAATATACTAATTTAATATTCAGCATACCATTTCTTTGTCACTGTGGTATATTTGGTGATATTTGCGGGGTATTTAATTTTAGTTATATTCACAGTCGATAGCACAAAACCTTAGATTCCTAGTGAACATTTCTGCAGTTAATGGAAATCTCAGGAAACACCTGTTATGCCTTATTATATGGACACCAGTACATAGACATGTGTGAAATTGAATACCTTTGAACTTTCCAAACCCTGACAGATTGGACTGCAAAGTCAAAGCCACTGTACAGTAGGTAATATACCTGGAATGAACATTTTTGTCTTTTTTTTTCAAATGAAATATTTTTCTTGCATTTAACTTTATTTCTTGATATTTGTTCTTATTGTAACTTTTTTGGTAAATAAGCTCACTATGTTCATGTTTTTGTGAGTGTGGAGTGAAATTATTAGATAGAATATGGTAGAATGTTTTTATTATATTTACGGTAAAAAGTCTACTATAAGAACATGTACACATAAACATATGACCGGAGTGTGAACTTGAGGTTTCTATATGTTATTGGCTTTTGAGCAAGAAAACTGTGAATATATAGGTCTAGCTTAACGTGTAGGTACGTCTGTCAACTGATGATAAAACTATGTTTATGTAGTTGTCTTGTTTAGAACCTTAATAGATAGTGATGTACTGCCACTAGAAGGAGTTTTCCCACTTTATGTGAATACCTGTTGTTTCACCTGCTCTTATGAAACAAAACATGGGTGTCTTGTTAAGAGGAAGAATAAGATTTTGAAAATAGTTTCTATTTTACCTTATAAAGATATTGAATCTTTATCAATGAAATGTTTTTCTTAACTTAGAGAAGTATTTCTAAAGAATAAATCTGTAAAAATGTTTTATATAAAGATAAATAAGATAATACACATCATATTGTATTAAGCTGATGTAACATAATGAATATCTAGAGTTTTTAAAATTCTTTCATCTGAGCCAAAATGCTTCGGCACTCACTTTAAAAGAAATCTTACCTTTTAACAATTTTTCAAGAAATGTAATAAATTTAATTCAGAAGGGTAGACTGATATTTTTTATTTCTTCTAAAAACACCAACTTTGATAAATTGTTGGAAACAGCTTTGACAACGAGTCATGTGAAAGTTTGTTTACAGGAATAATTTTTTTTGCTTTCTATCCGAGTTCAAATAGCTTTAAAATACTCTTGTGATTCTATTTGTCCATCCTAGAAGTTACATCATAAGAAATGAAAATTATTGACCAATTCCAAACAATGTTGAGTTTTCCTGTTGTATGTGAAATGTTAGTGCTGTCCTTTGAAAGATTACAAGTACAGAATGACACGATTTGGAATAAGTTTGGTTGAGAGAAAATTTGGCAAACAAATGTTGGTAACTTTGTATGGAATACCACCATGTATAATCACTGGATTTTGAGGTATGCATGTACACTTTGTTTGGAGTAGATCTTTTTTGGTTTGTTCTGGTTTTTTTGTTCACCTCACTCCTCTGGCAGGAATGACCGGATTTTACCCAGATTTAGTCAGAAGCATTGTTGAATAAAAGTGAATCAATTATGTTTAAATGGTAGGTCTCTGCCCCCTGGAGCCTAAGGGGCGAGTTCCCATAGGGTAAAAGGGAAAATTCTTTAAAATCCTACTCCTTCTGTAAGAATGATAGGATATTTCTAAAATTTAATCTGAAGCATTATTTGGTGAAGGGGAATCTAGCTTATATAAATAGTACATCTCAGCCCAGTTGGGTCTGAGGGCTAGGGCCTGATTTGGGTAATGGAACAAATTCTTAAAAATCCTACTCCCCTTGTGGGAATTATAGGATATTGGCCAAATTTAGTCTGAAGCATCATTTAGTGAAGGGGAATCAATTAGGTATAAATGGTATGTCTCAGCCCCCTGGGGCCCAAGGGGAAGGGCCCAATTTGGTAATAGAGCAAATTCTTCAAAATCCTACTCTTGCTGTAGGAATGATTTGATTTTGCCTAAATTTGGTCTGAAGCATTGCTGGGAAAAGGGAAATCAATGAGGGCAATGAATTTGGTATAACTGGTAGGTCTCAGCCCCCTGGGGCCTGAGTGGTGGGGACCAATAGGTGAAATAGAGTACATTCCTTAAATCCTACTTCTCCATTAGGAATGATAAGTTATTTTTGTGCAGGTCAATGAAAGCTTCTTTTTTGTGCAGGTCAATGAGAGCTTTTTTTGTGCAGGTCAATGAGAGCTCCTTTTTTGTGCAGGTCAATGGAAGCTCCTTTTTTGTGCAGGTCAATGAAAGCTTCTTTTTTGTGCAGGTCAATGAGAGCTTTTTTTGTGCAGGTCAATGAGAGCTCCTTTTTTGTGCAGGTCAATGGAAGCTCCTTTTTTGTGCAGGTCAATGAGAGCTCCTTTTTTGTGCAGGTCAATGAGAGCTCCTTTTTTGTGCAGGTCAATGGAAGCTCCTTTTTTGTGCAGGTCAATGAGAGCTCCTGTTTTGTGCAGGTCAATGAGAGCTCCTTTTTTGTGCAGGTCAATGAGAGTTCCTTTTTTATGCAGGTCAATGAAAGCTCCTTTTTTGTGCAGGTCAATGAGAGCTCCTTTTTTGTGCAGGTCAATGAGAACTCCTTTTTTGTGCAGGTCAATGAGAGCTCCTTTTTTATGCAGGTCAATGAAAGCTCCTGTTTTGTGCAGGTCAATGAGAGCTCCTTTTTTGTGCAGGTCAATGAGAGCTCCTTTTTTGTGCTGATCAATGAAAGCTCCTTTTTGTGCAGGTTTGATGAATCAGAATTCTTTGTTTACTTATGTATTGCTAAAAAGAACAGACCTTCATTTGACATTCAATGGTGGTTTCTTTTATCAATTCTACTGCAGTTTCATGTTTTTCTCACAGAATAGTTAATGCATTTCAGATAAAATTCATAGATACTTAAAAGAATGGTTAGATCATTCAGGTGTTTGAATATTAAACAGTCATAAATGCACTGTTTATAAATAAGTTATGCAAGTTGCATTGTAATTTAACTGTTTGTCTTTATGTTTACAGAACCTCAGTCTGTACAGAACAATGCTAGGCCTTCCTCCATGGTGGCGCTCTGTGATGAATGATGATCTACTGCAGGTGACATTTTAATACCTTTTCATGCTCTCACCTTTTTTCTTAGCTCACCTGTTCCGAATTACCACAGTGTCTCTCATCCATCTCTGTCATCTGTCCTATTTCCTAACAAATTGCTAGTAGGCATGAACATATGATTTTGACCAAATTTGAGGGTGTTGTATCTTGCCCCACCCCCCACCCCACTCCCCCCAGGACAGGAGGGCAGAGCCCTGTAGGTAAAACAAATTCAATAAAAGAATTCTGATGTAGGAATGGCAGGATTCTGTCCCCTTTTGGTCTGTTGGATGAATCCCTGAAGTCTGACTCCCCATGGACAGAGGGTTCAAAGCGGCCCAATGATTGATGCTTGAAAATTTAGAATTCCTTTAGTTTTGATGAAGCCAATTCAACAGGCTCTAAGGGCCTCCTTTTATATCCAATTCATATAAAAACATACAGATTTAAAAACAAGTTTTAGCCCACCATCTAATCAAATCGCCCTTTATCCTTCAAGGTACTTTCATCAATTTAAATGCTTTGGCTACGCTGATATCTGGGTACCAAAGAAGCAATGTACTTTTCTCACTCTCACAAGAATAAGACTAGAGATTAAGTTCTACATTTTGATTCTTTACTTGCTATTTTTCCTTATTACAAAAAGTAATTGAAAACTAAAACTTCAATTTCAGATAATCAAATTGTATACCCATAATTACATAAATCTGTCACACATTAAGTGTCTTGTTGTTTAAATAGGATAAAACAATTATTGATCACAAACATGTGACACCTTTACCTGCTGCTTTTGACAACATTTCATGTTGAAGTGAAATCAGCTTATGACAAAGTTAAAATGATGACCGAATTCTGATAAAAAATACTATAAATGTAATTATTTGAGCAGTAATCATATTTTTTGGGCTTTTTGCTCTGAAAGTATTGTGACCAACTATGATTATGCAAATTAAAAGTTCCAAATGCTATCTATAAATAAAAAATGATTGATGTCCAGATTTATCATTGCTCTAATGTGCCAAAAGTATTAATGAATTTAAATTTGATTGTGCCAACAGGTGGCCATCTTGGATTTTGGAAGTAAAAGTTTGTTACCGCTATTTCTGAGAAAGGACTGGATGGATCTTCCTCAAATTTCATATACAGTTTCCACTTGGTCCCTTGTTGTGCATTGTACCTTTTTTGGACTGATTCGAATTCAAGATGGCCGACAGGCAGCCATCTTGGATTTCGGAAGTAAAAGTTTGTTACTGCTATTTCTTGGAAAGTACTGGATGGATCTTTCTCAAATTTCATATGCAGTTTCCCCATAGTCCCTAGTTGTGCATTGTACCTTTTTTGGACTGATTCGAATTC